AAAAAGAATAATCTTAAAAATAATGGTGGCTAATTTTATGCACAAATGTAGTATGGCTATAATTAGGACACGTAGCACTTTGCACTTTTGTGCACTTTTTTTTTATTGTGGGGTTATCTGAATGGTCCAAAAACATGAATAAATTCCAATTTTCTATAATTATGTAAATAAATTATTAGTTTTTTTTGGGTTGGCAAAAAAAAAACAAAAATGGAATAGTTGTAATTTTATGCTTTCAGTCTGCGTCTATGATAATTGCCGTTAACGCATTTTATAATTCAGTGATATGAAGTAACAATATCAAGATGAAAATAATAATATCAAATAGTGAGCTCGATTGATTTTTATTTTTTTAATTTTTATGTTAAAATTAATCATCCAGTTTAATAAATTTTTCTTTTAATTTTTTTCTTAAAAAAAAAAGAAGATGGGATCAAATCGTTAGTCATGTCACTTTTCTTTTGGTTTAAAAATCAAATGAAATTTTATTTTATTATGTTTTTTGTAGCGATTTTTTCAAGTAATCGCCATCAATTTCTAAGTCAATTCTGTTAATTGGACTAATATAAAGTGCCCCACTTAACATTACAAACTTAAAGAAAACTCAACCTTATATTAAAGGGATAAAAATACATCCACTTTCATAAATAAAGGATAATTTTGGCTTTAAAGTCGAAAAAATAAAAAAAATGAATTTTTTAAAGTACAAAATAAGGTTGCTCCAAAACAATTTATAAAAAGTTTAGTTTAATCGGTTATAAAAAGTAGAATATATTATTTCGGTCATCATTTTACATAAATAAATAAAACATTTTTAAAACCAATATATTATATAATAAGTATTATGTATGAATTCCAAACATTTCGATATATACTATTTAAATTAGTTTACAGACATGTATTATATTTGTTTGTAGAATAATAACCATCAAATTTATAGCAATTCTTAATATTGAATTTGAATTGTATTATAATTATCGTTTGTATTTATACAATTTAAATATAACTCTCATATTTTTAAAGTTTCAGCTATATCTTTTTATAGTTATCACCACCAAATCATCGATGATTTATATTTTTCAAACTGCAAGTTAGGTATAAAATCCATTTCTCACTACTTTACACCTTTTTCTTTCCTTCACGTAACAAAATTAAAGATTACCATATATTGGATATTTAATTAGGACCTTTAACTTTTTGAAAAATTAATTTAAATAGTTGTCCACTTGTGTGTTTAATGTTAAAATGACAATTAAAACAAACTTTCAGGGCCAACGCCCACATATTTGGCCTAAAACAAAAAGATAATTCCTTTTATGATTGAAAATGTACCATATTTTATAAAGTTGTGTGTCTCTTTGGATGTTTTATATTGCATTATATTTGCATGTTATGATGTATTAGTTTAGATTACGATTGATCGTATGATGAAGATGGAATGTTAGAAAGCAGACTTCGAATTTAAATTTTATTAGTTCAATATTTAAAGTAAAAAATACGTAGAATGTATTAAAACGTCATTTCATCTTATAATCTTAAACATATAATATGAAAAAAAAATTGAAATTAAAGAACTATCGATAAAAATTTAGAACAAAAAGAATAGTATTTTATTACGATTTTTATAAACTTTTACGTATAAATTAAAGTTTATGATTAAATCCAGATAAATTCGATATTAATACATTGAATAATCCACACTTGGTTAAAGCAACATGTTTCTCGTCGATATACTATGAACCGCACACATTTTTTTTGTCATCATTCTAAAAAGACAAAGTATTACGTATCTTTCCTCTTATGATGAAATTTCTCGATAATCAATTTTAATATAGATATCAAATGAAATTTTTTGTAAAAAAATTAGATTTAATCAATTTTAATTTAGATATTTAACAATGAATAAAAAGCAAAAACAAAAATGACCATCTCTTTCTAGTCCATTCTTTTCTTTTTTAACGTAACAAAAATTATTGGCACACTACACAATAATAGTAATGGGACCAAATTCTTTATTTAACAAATTTAAATATAAAAAGTTCAATACATATTAAATAAATAAAATTAAATTTACGATATAATGTTTTGTCAAAGACCTCTTGGTCTTACTTGGCTCCAATGTTAACCACAAGGAATGAAGTTTTGCATTGTTTTGCTGGTCTTTTTTTTGTCATCGACATCCCCTTTATATCATTTTCGAAAAAGTTCATGTGATTGTCACATTTTTGTTTTATTATATTAGAAAGTCCAATTCTTTATCCTAATATTCTCATTTTGATTCCATCTTCATAGGTTAATTAATTTTCCATCACATGATTATGATTTATCATAGACTAAAGTCACATAATTATATTCTCTATTCAAAGAATTGTAAAAACTTTTACCTAAATATTATATAAAATTCATTATAAATGGAGAAATCACTAATTTTACATAATTATAATATTTGTATTGAGAATTATTTTAATAATATCTACGAAATTTGTATTAAAAAAAACTTAATAATAAAGTACAAATGAAACTCACTTTGACTTTGTTGCCCACTTGGGTAACGATTAGAAATTTAGAATCTCCTTGAACACTTATGTTGACACCCAATTTTTGACCCACATTGGTATAACTTAATTATCGAGCTTCGTGAGTTTTTCAAATTATTTAAGTTAACTAGTTTTATAAAGCTTGCGAAAATTAAAATATCTATATACATGTATATCTTAAGTTTAGAAAGTATTCTATTAAACTAGTTTACTTTAAATCACAATTATATTTTGAATCATTATTTTATAATTTAAATAATAATGTTACTAAACAAATAGGCTCGTTAATAAATTTATACCTAATTCGTTTTTGAATCGATTGACTATTATTTAAATTGAACTCTTTTTCCATTTAATTTGGAAGAGCCAAATTTGGGCCCCTCACCTTATTCCTAATTCCCAGGCCCAAGTTTCCCTTTCCAAACCCAAATATTCAGCAGCCCATCTTAAAATCCCAACCCATTTATTCTCAGGCGACCCAATACACACTAAGTTAAATCCAGGCCCCAACATCCCCAGGCCCAATTACCCATCAGCAGCCCACTTCCTTTCCAACCCAATACCTGAAAAAACCCGACCCATCTCCCCTCTTTCTCCTTCCCCCTTCCCCTACACCATTCCGAGAACCCAGAGAAAAAAAAACAGAACCCCCAGATACAAATGTGTTTATGTCGTATATCAACTGAAGTATGGATTGAACAACTTAGCTGCTTATTTTCACTTAGTATTGTGATTCTGTATTTGCCATTTTGTCCCCTTGCTTAAGTAGATTATCATGTGGTAAATGGCGTGATTTGAATTATTAAGTTTCTTTAGAATTTGTCTCCCTATATTAATTGTCCATGTCTTAAGTTATTTGTGTTATAATTATTTGGGATATTGTCTTGACTTACCTTGTATTTATTTCAGTTTCGATCATGTGAGGTTCTAATCATGGTTTCCATCTTTATGCATGTAAAACCGTCCGAGTTTATTAAACTCTTGTCCTCTTTATTCCGAGGGAGCCATAAAGGCTCTAAATGTCTTTCATCGAGTCAATTCGTGAAAACCGGCGTATGAAGTTAAATTTCGAGTTCTACGAAGATCGAAAGCCGAGGGAGCACGGGATTAGAAGACCCTTTTTATTTATTTTTGCATTTTTTAATGGGCATAAGCCCTAGTTGTTTTCCTCGTTTTCTTTGTTTATTTCTATTTTATCTTGTATGCTTAGATTAGGACAGGTACAAAATAGGTTAAAAACCCAACGACAGGTGGGTCCAAAATTCGGTCAAGGCGAACAGAACCCGAATTTGGACCCAAAATCTCTCTCTCTATCTCTCCTTTAGTTGCTTTTGTGTTTCGTTTTGAGTGCCGTTAGCTTAGGATTAGAAAACTCCAAAGCCCCTTTCGAAACGCCGTTCTATTTTATCAAGTTAAAACTAAGTCTTAAAATAATAAATATTCAAAACTTGAAAATTTGCCTAAGGGAATGTTTTGAAAGTTCAACTTAAGGCTTTGTAAAAATTTGAAAACAAAAATAGTCAAATATTGTTAATCGTTGGAAAACCGTAGTTAGCGGAGAGTCTTAGGTGCCTTAAACACCTTCCTAAGATGCTAATAGGAATCCCGAACCCCTTTAATATTTTCAATTGATTTTTTTGGTAAGTGTTTTGAAAATTAAAGTTTTCTTTATTTTCCTTAAAAATTAAGTGGCGACTCCTAAAAAGTCTAAAATAAAACAAACTCTTTTCGAAAATAATTTTTTGATAAAACAACTTATAAAATATTATATATATTCTGAATTTTATTAATACTCATTTCATATGAAATATTGAAATAGAATCACATTTGCTGCAAAAAAAATTAGGATAATATATTTCACGTCCTATTTTGATATATATGATAATATTATATTAGATGTTGTATTGTAGTTTTTGCTTTTAATAATATATTTTAGTATTTTGTTGTCTTATGGTAAATTTTGCATTGTCTTCTTATTACATATTATATTTATTTATTTTTCAATATTTCCTTGTCTTTGTACATAAAAATTGCCATACTTCAGCTAGGTTTTTATGAAAACGATCTATCTATCTCTATGATATAGTGATAAAGTTTGCGTACATTTTACTTTTTTCGGACCTTATTTATGATATTTCATTGATATGTTATTTATGTGTAATCTTATAAACAAGTGCTTCTTCTATTCAACAATAATTGTTTATTATTGACTTGAAACACCTATTTAGAAACTATAAATAAAAGGATAATTTTATTATATCACCCTTTGAATGTAATAAATATAATATGCTGAAAAATGTTATAGAAAAAAAAAGACTATATATTAATGATAAGGGTAAAATGGAAATTACCTGTAAAATCATCCATGAATTATAAAGTGAACAAATGTTGTTGGACATCTATTTTTAGTATAGTGAACAACTCTTATTGAGCGGAGGGAGTACAGTATACTTAGTATAATTATACTAATGAAGCTTTAGAAACGTAAAGTGTATGCAAAAACCATTATCTTAAAAATATAAATGCTATTTCCAACAGATCCAAGAAAAATACAACCAAAGTGATATAGGGAAAGAAGTAACATAATAGAAGAATTAGTGTAGATTTCATCCTAAACAATACTTAAAACAAGATAAAACAATAATCAAAAGTGTATATAAATTCAAAGCGAAACGACGATCAACTGTCGAATTAACCATCCTATCTAAATTCATATCCTCCCTAACCTCTTATCTAAAATCATATTTTTAGTAACCAGAAATCATATCACGTCTTATCTAATAAGTCCTTTTCAATATTTTTTCGACCTATCTCTACCTTTTTTGAAACCATCAATAGCCCACTTCTCTTACTTACGCAGATTAACTTTTTCAAAAAAAATATTTTTTTTCATATCGAACGCATACCCATGAGTCATAACTCATGGAAATGTTCTAGGCCCAATTTGGCCCAATATCACAAGGTTCGTTCATCCTTGACCCGATTCAGAATTTCGACATTGTTCTCCTTCTCTCTTTCTCACAGTTGCTCCATAGCCATCACCTCTTTTACAAATTTTGCTTCATTCATAATCTTCACAATCTCAACTACCCCTTTTACACTTCCCCACAACAACAAAAAACAAAAAGATCGAATCTTTTTCCTTAAGTTCCAAAAAATCATCAATTTGTTGAAGATCCCACCAAAAAAATCATCATTTCAAGTCAAAATTTTCAAATTTTCAGATTCCACACCTCTATGGGTGTGATTTAAGATCAAGAAATCATGTTGGGTGCTGTCCAATTAGGACTTTTTGCAGCAGGGGTTGTACTTTTTGTCCCTATGGGTATGGCAGGTTGGCATTTGAGCCGTAACAAGATGCTCTTTTTCAGTTGTGCCCTTTTCATCACTCTTGCTGTTGGTGTTCATCTTGTTCCATATTTCCCTTCTGTTACATCTTTTCTTTCATCAGGTTCAGATTCTTTATCATCTGTTATTGTAAATCGTGATTCTTGTTTTTCTTTACTTCACCAAGTAGCATTTGATTTTCAAGAATTGAGTAATAATAGTAAAAGGGGTTCTTGGAAATGGGTCGAGTCTGAAAATGTTGTAGATTGTGATTTCCAGAAGTTGACTATGAATGATGCTTCAGATTTGTTAAATGGGTCATGGGTTGTTGTTGCTGGAGATTCACAAGCTAGGTTAATGGTGGTTTCACTTTTGGAGTTGTTATTGGGAGATAGTAAGATGGAGTTGATAAAGAAGGATCTTTTCTTGAGGCATAGTGATTATAACATATTTGTTGATGAGATTGGGATGAAGCTGGACTTTATATGGGCACCTTATATGAGTAATTTGACTGATTTGATAATGAGGTTCAAAGAAAAAAAGAGTTATCCTGATGTATTTGTGATGGGGGCAGGGTTATGGGATATGTTACATGTAAATAACGCTTCGGACTATGGTGTTTCGTTAAAGTCTTTGAAGGATTCAGTAGTGTTGTTGTTACCAGTTTCTTCAGCGTTTGCTAACAGTGATGGTTCTGGGACAAATATTGTGGTTCCAGTTCGGTCGCCCAACTTGTTTTGGTTGGGGATGCCTAAGTTGATAAGCTCAATGTTGAAAACAGATGAGAAGAGGGAGAAGATGAATGATGTAATGTGGGAAGCTTATAATGATGAACTTTACAGAAGTAAGCTTCTTCAACAATCTGGTGGACCATTGTTTTTGCTGGACGTGCATTCGTTGAGTAATAAATGTGGAGCTGATTGTACGTCCGATGGGATGCATTATGAGGGGGCTGTCTATGAAGCTGCTGTACATATCATGTTAAATGGATTGCTGATAGAATCTAACCAGAAGCTATGATGGAGCGATTATGGTTAACGATATGACACCCTTCCGCAATGGGAAAGGGAAATAGAATCACTTTGGTAATTGCTTGAACTCATACTTCAATAACGTCGGTGAATATTTTTTTTCCAAGTATTCATTTGGCAACTGATATGTTTAGCAAGAATTCTTTGATGGTAGTTCATATTCTTTTCCCCCTTGTTCATTTGTATGATTACTGATACTTACACGAATTGTATTCTAGAGCAGGAGAAACTCCTCATATCTCATATGTAGAACAATCGACGTTTCTGAAATATGTACAATATTTTGAGTATCCAGTTACATGATTGCATCTCTATATGGTATTCTACTTGCTTTTATGTCAAGTTGACGATATCTCTCTTGAACCTACTTAGATTTGATACCATAATAGACCTTGTCTTTTCCTGCTTCTCTAGTTAAATTTCAAAGGTTGATGAATTGAATGCTTGCTGTTTTGTGTGTTTCTTGGTAGTTTTAAGGTCTAACTTGAGTTCATATATGACTCTTTTGTATGTTTGATGCTCTTGCATTGGAATTAGAACTTCGTCTCCAAAAAGCTTCTTAACTCTCCTTGTATGTTTGAAGCTCCGTTGGGTACATGTTGGATCCTCCAAAAGTAATGCATTTTTGAGGACCCAACACTGGTGTGTGGCAACACTTTTGGAGGGTTCGAGCATCATGGCTTTCTAGCCATATCAAGATGATTTTCTGATTGTGTTGTAATGTTGCAAGGTGAGGAAATTTACCTCTTCTTCCCTCTCCAACCACTGGAATTTTTGCTATAACTGTAGATGAAGTTTGGCTTTAATTGCATTTTTGATCTTATTTAGATATATAGTTATTTGTTATGTTGCTCGCACTCTCTGAAAATGTTTGTTGTACATCCTCCAAAATGCACGTGTGAATTCGAGCAACATAGGTTATTTGTTCACTCTCTAAGGTGCTAGAGATTTACCTTTTTCAGCCCTTATAAATGGAGAATGGACCATAATTCTTGTAGAAACAACGACATACTTACTTAGTGTAATCATGCCTCCTGATTCGGATCTTTAGGCGTTTATCGCCTGAACATGGAATTCATCTGCTGGAGTGAAAATTATCTACAGTGACACCGGCTGTATGTGCAACATTATTCTTCATATAGCAACCAACACAATACAATACACAACACATGTATAAACAATGAAACATACTAATACATTCAAGTGATCTTACAACTTTGCACTCCAAAATCTACATCTGGTAGTTCCCCATCAGAAACAAGCACAACTCAATCTTGATGAATACCTCAAGGAAGGTCCAGAACAGCCTACGATTCGAACTGCTTACCTTGAAAAGTCTGTCCAAAATTCCAGATCTTCGGAGCAACATTGTAAGATGTTAAGGTGACTCCATCACTGCTTGTTATCTCGAAAGAAAGTGGTTGATTCTTCAAATCCGCACTTATATGCCAGTTTTGGCCCCAAATCCTACCCATGGGAAGCCATCCTGTTCTTGAACCCTTAACTTTTGCTGCCACTATATCACCCGCGCCTGCAACGTTACTGATTAAAACAGACAAGAATATTCCAGCACCATTGATCGTGAATCGAACTCCTCCTTCCTTTCTGCACTTAATTCTGTTGGAAATTGTGAAAAAAAGGCACACTGTAAATTCTCCATCAACTGTAGATTCAGAACAGAAGAGCTAACAAAAACTTGAATATTTAGATAAATACTATACATGTACTTGCTAATAATCAAGATACAAAACTATACTGTATCTGGAGTTCAGAGGGACTTTTGCAAGGCTCATGAAGAAGACAACAACACACCAACTAGAGAAGCTGTTTTCGAAAGACCCTCACTGAGCAAACAATGAAAAAGACACAATAGTAACAAATAAAAAGAACAAGAAGATAATAAGATATTGAAACAACCCCTAGTGATAGAAATCTATCAATAACAGAAAGAAAAGAATTATACTGATCTCTGGGAAAGGAAACAAATTCTAATCCTCGACCTCTACATCCTCTATGAAGGGTCATGTCCTCGGTGAACTGGAGATGCACCATATATTGTATCTGGATTTCAAAGGAACTTTTGCAAGACTTACAAAGAAGGTGAATAGTAGGTGAATGTTCAAGTGCAACATAGTGACACCTGAAGGTGGTGAAAGCAATGAATACTAAATTCAGTGTAGATCGGTGAATGGTTTTATTAGAAGGGAAACAGAAGGACTTCCCTTATAAAATGTTGGTGCCCGGGAAATCCACAGATTTTGAGGCTTGATCTATTTTATATGAGCAAGGTAATGCCAAGCACACTAAAGGAGCTGTGCTTGAAGATATGGTGGTGAAGGGCAGGGAGGAATAAGGAAGCAGCTGCTCTGTAAGCTTTAATACATACTATGATGAAAATCAACGTAAAATACTGTAACTCTGGTGATTATCGATATAGAAGGTTCACATGGTTGACCACAACTAGTTTCGATTTGAGGCATAGTTGATTCATTAGTTCAAGATTGGAATTATGTTCAGCTTTGCCACAAATAGACGACCCTATATGAACCAAGGTTTAGGCAGATGGGAAGAGTTCATCTGCTCGCTCTCTACTAGAATCCGAGCCTTGATACCCTTGGTTGTCATTCCAACCCTTCAACCACCACGCTATCCTTAGGGGAGTATGATGCACATTACTATGAAGGGAAAATAGTTTAATCCTCCATGAACAACATTGAATTAGAGAATCACAAATGAAATTATGTGAATAGTTTCATGAGAGCCCTTTACGAGACATTTAAATTGTTACGGACCCCAAAATTCTAAAATTTTCCTAAGAAATTTGACCAAAATTACTAAAATTTCCAACCTTTGAACCATCTAATGCTCTTCTTATAACAACAACTACACCTTTGATCCCAAATAAGCTGAGATTGGCTATATGAATCCTCGATGACCATTTTTCTCCTTTAATCAGATCAGAATTATTCGTGAAACAAATGGAGTAATGAATTCTCCCAGTAAAGCATCTAAAAACAACAACAACAATACCCAATGTCCCACAAAATGGAATCCCAAGAGGGTAGAGTGTAGGCAAATCTTACTTCCAAGGTTGTTTCCGATAGATCATCAACATAAGAAATAGCAAAATAGCAGATAGTAGCAGAACAATAACTATGACAAAATAATATGATAATCGAAATATAAGAAACATCAAATAATAACAGAAATTAAAGGACAAGAAACTATACTACCTTCGATACTGAACAGGCATATTCGAAGCTTTCCAAATAGCAATTTTCTCAAAAGCTTCAATCGGCAGAACAAAATGTGCATTTGGAGGGTTACAATGTCCACCGCCATCAGGTTCAAATCCATAATTCGGAGCACAAAAATTCGTTGCAGTAACAATAATCGAAGTACCCGGAATACACCATCGGAGTTCCTCAACACATCGAACTTCAAAGCAAGCTCCGCAAATCTGACCCTTTTCGAATAGCACAGTGCTTAATCCAGCTGTTGATTTACCATAACCACTTCTCTCTAAATCACCGTACCCACACGCGCCACCTACTACATCCCGTGGATCTGCTGGAGCATAGTAGGTTGCCCGTCCCGGGCGCCACTCCGATGGGTGAGCGGCGGCGGCGGCGACGGTGGAGGAGGAAGACGGTGACCAATTGTAGTGGGAGTGAGCTAGTGAGAATGTGCTACACAGTGTGAGTGTTAGTAATAATTGTAGCAACATTTTCGATAGTACTGAGAATTTTGGGAATTTGGGAAATTTTATTACTTCTCCATTGATACTACTATAGTTTTTCTTTTAAAATATAACTGATTAATTTAAATTCGTATTTTTTAAAATTCATTTGAGTAGATTATTTTTTACTCAGGAATTGAATTCGAAATATATAATTATAATAGTTTTTTTTGTTTTTATTTGGGAAATACCCAAGTACTCCTCAACTTATGCCCGAAATCCCAGAGACATACTTATACTATAATAAGGTCCTATTATCCCTGAACTTATTTTATATGTAATTTTCTACCCCTTTTTAGCCTACGTGGCACTAGTTCGAAAAAAAGTCGACCATCGTTGGGCCCACAAGATAGTGCCACGTAAGCTAAAAAGGGGTAAAAAATTATTAATAAAATAATTTCAGGGGATAATAGGATCTTAGTATAGTATAAGTGTGTCTCTGAGATTTCGGGCATAGGTTGAAGGGGTACTTAGGCATTATCCCTTTTTATTTTGATATTGGATATTTTTATTGATACCGACATAAATTGAAATCGTCACTTAAAGACTCCTTTTAAAGGATAAATATTTCACAGTATGATCCTTTTTTTTTCATTGGTAGAGCATAAATACGAAGCATCTAATTAAAAGTGATGAAATTTATTCCTAATACGGAAAAGACTCAAAAATATCTCTAAACTAATCGAAATAGATCATATATATTCTTAAACTTTATTTCGGCTCATAACTACCCTTCCCGTCATACTATTGGGTCAAAATTACCCTTCTAATTAACGGAAGTTATTAAATGTCACGTGGATGCCATATGGATGTCACATTGCATGCCAATAGGATTCCACTGTCACGTAGATTAAATAGAAAAGATCAAAAATACCCTTAAACTATTCGAAATAGCTCATATTTACCCTTAAACTATATTTCGGCTCAAAACTACCCTTCCCGTCAAACTATTGAATCAAAAGTACCCTTCTTATCAACAAAAATTATTAAATGTCGTGTGGATGCCACATTGCATGCTAATAAGGTTCCACTACCACATAGATTAAATCCCTAAATCCTAATTACTTCCCCCCTCATTTCATTATTTCAGAAATGATATATTCACCTGTTCTCCCTCATTTCGCGGCTAGGGTTTCATATTTTCTTTTCGTGGCTGGGTTTCAAAGTGGATATTCATGCTTGTAGGCTAGTAAATATTTTTTCTTATTTTATTATGTTTACAATTTCAAAGTATAATAGTTAGGATTTCACAAATTTCCCCTAATTTCACAGCTAAGACATCGTAGCTTTCTTCGGGGCTGAGTTTCAAAGTGGATATTCATGGTTATGGGTTAGTAAATATTTTTTCTTATTTTATTACGTTTACGATTTCAAAGTATGATAGTTAGAATTTCACAACTTTCCCGTCATTTCGCGGCCAAGGTTCCATAACTTTCTTCAGAGCTGAGTTCAAAGTGGATTTTCGTGGTTGTTAACAAAATAAAATAAGAAAAAAATTTACTAACCTATAACCACGAATATCAACTTTGAAACCTAGTGACGAAGAAAACTGTGAAACCTTAGCCACGAAATGAGGGAGAAGGGGTAAAATCATTTCCGAGAAATAATGAAATGAGTATTTAAGATTTAGGGATTTAGTCAATGTGACACATGTGACATTTAACAATTTCCGCCAATAATAAAGTCACTTTTGATCCAATAGTTTGACGGGAAGGATAGTTTTGAGTGAAAATATAGTTTAAGTGTATATCTGAGCTATTTCAGATAGTTTAAGGGAATTTTTTGATCCTTTTTCCGTTCCTAATAAGATACTTTCTTAATAAACTTTTTATACGTAAAATTTAAATTCAAAACATCTAATCATGAGTGACGAAATTTTATTCATTTCACTACTATGCGGGATGGCTACGTCTACTATTAGTGTTTGGAGTGAAGGACAATAGCATTGGCTTTCATTTTTGAACTTGAAAAGTTGTCAGTTGTTCAATACTGGGCTGGGACAAAGCTGAATGCTTCGTAACTCGACCCCGAGTTTCTTCGTATCAAAAACAAATACAAAATTTAAGACGAAACTATTAAATTTTAGCTACGTTAGCACCACATGCAAGTAATTGCAAGCTAGTAGATTATTCAGAACATAAATTATATGTCAATTAAAATTAATATACATATATATATAACTGTATCGAATTGAAATATAAAGCGTTACGTAAAAGTTAATAATTATAAATTTTAACGAGGAATGCAGAAGTGACTGTAACAAACCGAAGTACAGTGAAAAAACAATTTTTGTTACAAAGCTAGCCTCTAAGATTAACACAAGTGGACGTGCCGGAGTGGTTATCGGGCATGACTAGAAATCATGTGGGCTCTGCCCGCGCAGGTTCGAATCCTGCCGTCCACGATTTTGATGTTTTTCTTTTTTATAAATCTGTTTGATTGATATTTTTCGATCGTTAAGATTAAAATTTGGTTTTGAAATGAACCCATACACCTTTCACTATTTTTGGGCAAAGAATCTTTCGCCTAGCTTTGATATATTTTTCTCTACACAATTCATAAATTTTTTTAAATAAATTTCTTAATTGATATATTCGTCCATTTAACACCAGCATAAAACTGAATTTCTCTGTCTTGATGAATCTAAATTATAGTTAGGATAGACCATGCCTTTTCTTTTCATTCTTATTTTACACCATAAACAAATGAAACTAGTCATTTCTATTATTGTTCTACTATTACTTTTAGAGTTCAGAAGATTCTTATATTAATAATAAATTGAAAACAACTTTTTACTTTAAATTTTTTTTTTCTTTCATCTTTCTTTTTTTTTCCCTCCAAAACAAATTACAAGCCAAACTAAAAGAAAAGATAAAAAGATGTTACGTCTTTGTGATAATCACTAGAAACTTCTAACTTTCACTACATTTCACATTCTTCAAATCAAATTTTCCTCCCGCTTCACCCTAATCTTCTTTTCGTATCCTATTGAAACACGATTAAATTTAAAGTCTCGTAACAAAATTTTATATCGAGTAATACTATAGCATACCTAGCAGCGATGGAGCTAGAATTTTGTTTAAGGAATGTCAAAATATAAAGAAATAAAATCGTATAAAAGTCAAGGAGTGTCAATATGTAATATATGTACATACATAAAAAAGAAATATTTTCACACTAGCTACATAATATAATTATACGCCATCTATACCTAGGGCTCAAACTTAAAATGTCTAATTAAGAATAAAAATGAAGTACTTATCACTTAGTCACTAAATTTTTCGACGATAGTAATTCCATTTCCCTAACATTCATGAAAATAGTACTATTTACATTGTACATACAAGTATATATTATATGACAAATCTGAAATCAGCATAACCAAAACATTGGATTCTTCTTAGTAAATGTCGAGAATTTCAAGAATGGATCTATTACAAAGTGGACAACAACCTCGATTTACCCAAAGCTCTCTTGAACACACTCTACAAAATGTGTGACCACATGGTATAAATGCTGCTCCTTTTTTTCTTCTCATACACACACAACACACACTATCACTCCCCACCCCCTCTTCTCCTTTCTCAATCAATAATTCTCCTTCATACACTTCTGTTTCCTCTAACAACCTCATCAACGACATTCTCGTTGGCGTCCCCGGAATATTTCCCGAGACACCTCCATCGGTCCTCGGTAGGCCCGAAACTGAGTTCGGGCCGGGCCTAAGCCGTCGGCCCGAATGAATGTTGACTTCATTGTCGTCATAAGTTGGTACATTCGTTGGGCTGCTTTCATCGGGTCTCAATGGGCCCGAGTTTGAGTTTGGGCCGGGCCTTGAACCCGAAAGGGTATTGAATTCATTATTATCCGCTCTGAAGTGGCGTTCGGCGGCCAATGCAGCCGCCAAATTCATTCCGGAACTTCCTCCTCCGGCCACCGCCAGACACGGTGTTTGTGGCGGTGTGTGGATATGATGACTCATCACTTCTACGTTGTCGTTTTCGTCTTCATCGTCAACAACATCAAACGTTGTTGCTGGCATGATACCCCAAGTGGACCCGCAACATCCGATTCTCTTTAATCCTAGCCGTTCAGTTAGACTCTTTCGTCGTCTTAGAACTCGATCACCACCGTTCATTTTCTATATCTTTAATTACTTTGAATTTTCCTGCGAAATTAAAACCCAAAATTTCATCTATATAGCAATTTATAGATGAAAAAATTGAAATATAATACAAAAAAAAATATGTGTCTATATAGATTTTCAACATCCAATATTACAAAATAGACAAACAGTACATGTATATTCAAATTTTTAACGCGTTCAATTGAATTCAATATTTTCTTAATAGAATCAACCAGAACAACAAATATCTTCACTGTAATCTTACAAGTAGAAAATGAGAGGGCGGTGCATATATAATCCTTAACTTATCTTCGTAAAAACATTGTTCTAGATAAACTTAGATTAAAGTAATGCAATATCAAAATCAATATAAAAAGGAAATACTTACAACATCACAAGTAACACAAAAATCGAATCAAAGGAAACAACAAATAATCATATTAAAAATAAAAGATTTTCCAACACACAATACGTATATGAACAATCATAATTTTGAATATAATGTATATAAACATGTCTATATGAATTATTAAAAGGAAAAACAAGAGAATTACTCAATATATACTTACCAATAATCAAAAATGAAATTAATCTTCCATGATCATTACACAACTAACAACTTTTTTTTTTCTTTTGATTCAATTTAATTAGCATAAATTGAAGAAAAATAAAAAAGAGAAGAAGGAAGAAAAATGAAGTATTTTGGTAAGAGAAAATGGGAAGTCAATGAAATGTGGTGGCTTTGAAGAAGAAAGATAATAGAGGACTAGTAGGTATATATGTCACTATTTTTCTTCAATTATAAATTTATAATTGATGCTTTGAATTAGAAAACAAACAAAAAGACAGATTGGAATGAAGAAAAAAGCAACAAAAGGAGAATAATTGATCTGGTCTTTCTTCTTGGTATTTTTTCTTTCTTTCGATATTTAATATTCGTATTAAAATTTAATAATATTCGAATCTGAATTATTTAAACACAACATTCTCAACAGGCTTTTAATTACTTTACTTTATTTGATTTGAAAGCCAAAATATTTTGTTTATTAAATTTTGAATCAATTATCTATATATATTTGGTAAAAAAAGTTTAAACATAAATTCATAATTTGAGTTAAAGTAATATACCTCCGCCAACTCTTTAACACCAGAGATTAATTATAATTGTAGGTATTTGAAAAAGAAAGTTGAAAGATGATATTTGAAAGTCAATGTCATATTAAGATAAATAATTTTTGTGAGTAGAAAAGTGAAACAATTCATTTAAAATAAATAAATATTGTGAGTTAGAAATCTTATTTCACTTGAGAAACTCATTTTCAAAAACTAATCAAAACATTAATTCAATTAATAATCGATTATTTTAAAAAGAGGAGATAAATTCTCTTTCCAAATGGCCCCTATACTCCTAAGATTACTTTATTTGGCTTGAAATTAAAACTAAACGAACAAAGATTAATTATTGTTTAGTTTTCTAATCAAACTTTTGAGTCTTTGACGAGAATTTCTATTTTTTAAAAAATTATTTTTTGAATGAACATTCAAGAAAATTGCGTGTTCGTATAAGGTTTTACTTCCTGCGTCCTTTAGTTGTCACGAATTCATTTTTTAGAGTTAAACGATAAAAATTTTGATTAATATTTTATAATATAATTTTATTATATTGATATGTTAAAAATATTATAATTTATAATATTTTTTGTATAATTTTAAATATCTAACTTTTTATTTAAAGTATCAAATTTGTATAATATAATTTAATTTTAAAAATCAATTAAATTTACTTTAAAAAAACGGATGATAATTAAAAGTGAACGAAGAATACATAAAACAAAGTCAAACGCCATCGACGCAATTAGGCTCACGGATCAAGATTTCTCATGTGGCCTTTGCCTTTGCCTTTAGGATATCTTTCCCTTTTGAAAAAATCAATTGTTTATTAATTCATCCGTTTTAATTTGCTTATTCGATTTAATATACGTTTAATGTACTAATATTTTTTTTAGTGATATGTTCTTAAATATATTGAAAAGTTGCTAAAAAGGAAAATATATATACTTTTTGAATGAATTATTAAGGAAAATAGGTCAAATAAATTAAAAAATGAGAGAATAATATTTATTACTTTACTTGTTTTAACTTGCTTGTCTTGTTTTAATTTGACATCATATCTAAAAAAGATATAAAAAGACTTTTGAATTTTATAGTTTTAAATATGTCATTTTATTTTATAATTACGTAAAATAACAGAAAAAAATATAGATACATCAATATATTAAAACGAAGGAAGTATTTATTATTAACGTATCCTTTCATACTCCTTTATACGAAAAAGGCTCAAAAATACCCTAAACTATTCGAAATAGCTCATATATACCCTTAAACTTTATTTTGGCTCAAAACTATCCTTCCTGTCATACTATTGGGTCAAAAATACTCTTCTTATTAACGGAAGTTGTTAAATGTCACGTGGATGCCACATTGCATGCCAATAGGATTTTACTGCCACGTAGACTAAATAGAAAGGGTAAAAAAATACCCTTAAACTATTCAAAATATCTCATATTTACCCTTAAACTATATTTTGGTTCAAAACTACTCTTTATGTCAAACTATTGAATCAAAAATACCCTTCTTATCAACAGAAGTTGTTAAATACCATGTAATTAACATATTGCATACCAATAAGGTTCCACTGCCATATAATTTAAGCACACTTTATATGTTTCAATGATCCAATTTGTAGTTTGAGTTGTTAAACCACACATGTAATACCCTTAATTTTTGGTTAAAGAATGATAAACTCCAGCTTGGTTTGTTGACTTCATTCTCATTGTCATTACTTTATTAATATTTAATTTCATTTTTTCCAAATTTTTAATCAGGTCAAAATTTACAAATACGTCGATTTGATAATAAATTATCTGTTTTTTAATGTGCTTAAATCGACTTCAAGAATCCATAGGAACGGTTTTCATATTATATAACATCTTTGATTAGATATAAAGTTAAATATGAAAATAGTAAGATTTTATCGTTATATGAATAGTAAATATAAAATTATATCACACACCAAAAAGAATTACAAATAAAGTATATCGTTGTAAATTTAATAATCGATTTTTAAATTTTAAAATCCTAAACCTTCACGGGTCATTTGGTACGAAGAATAAAAGACAATAATTCAAAGATAAAATGTTAATTATCTTGTTTTGTGTTTGATTAAGAATATTAATTAGTCTCATGATTATTTATTTACTATTTTATTTAGAGAAAAAACATAAAGTTACTACTGATGTTGTCTCAAACTTACAATACCTTAACTTTGCAATTGTCTTATTATATCATTAAATAATTTTAACATATATTATTATGTCATTTTTCGATCAGTTCCAAGTTATAAGAAGAAAATGTGTTTACACACCAATCATTATATGACACATATTAATTTAATTTAAAATGTGTTTTTTATTTTATTTTAAATTTTTCCTTTATCTTTTTTTTAAAACTTTATTTCTCTCTCTTACTTTTTGACTTTTAATTTTGATTTATCTTAAATTTCACATCATCTCCCAAAAAATGAAAGAACTTAATTGAAAATCAGATAAAAAAAATTATATGATACTTCTTAATCATCTTGAACTCTAACGAGTTTATCAAATTATTCAAATGTAGATAAAATTTTAAAATTAAAGAGAGTAAAATTAATAATAACAAAAAAGGAAGATGAAGTTGTGATAAGAATGATGACATTAAAAATAAGAAGCTTTAATAGATGGAGATGAGAATGAATTTTTGAAGAAGAAAGAAGAAAGAGAAAAGAAAAAATAAAAAGGAAAAAAAGTTAAAATAACATGAAAAATAAGAAAATATATTTTGTAATAAAGTACTTATAAAAAATAAAATTATATTAACATGAAAAATAAGAAATTATATTTTTTAATAAAGTACTTATAAAAAACAAAATTATATTATTTATTATAGGTTGCTCACTCTCTTTGAGAGTGTGCAACCACTCTCTATGTCAATGATATTTATTTAAAATTGTTCAATGGAATAATAAGACGTTTACAAAGTTAAGGTGTTTTTTTAAAAATTTGAAACAACTTCAGTGCTGACTCTATGTCTTTTCTCTTTTATTTATTATAATGTTGAAATAAGTTATTCTATGTATATGGTGGGACAACTAATTTCATAAAATACCTCATTTCATGAGTTAAGTGTATCCACCACCTCTCACATCAAAATAATTAACCCCAAAGTCGTTTGGTATAAGATTATGGAGAGATCAATTATACTTGTATTAATTATTCTACCTTATACCTACATAAAAAAATATATGTACAATTCCTCATAACCTATTTACATACTAATTATGCGGATCTTTTAATAACAAATTAAACACAATATTAGTTATGCAGAATTTAATATAAGCATAACTCACCTTCACACCAAACAAGCTGGATAAGAACGATCTTAATCCATGCATTAATTTTCATATAACCTATACGATTTTGGTAGTTTGATATACAACAAGTTATTCATATATAAAATTTATTGATAATTTAGACATAACTAATACATACACGTATAAATTATGAGAAAATCTATATATTATTTTATACATAATAAAAGGTAAACTAATTAATACACGAATAACTAATCTCTCCATAAATTCTACGTGGATTTCCTCATAACTAAACCTTATATTACTTTAACCATATACGAAACAACAATAATTTAGAAACCCGCATAACTAGTACGAAGATTTCTTCAAAACTTATCGTTACATTACTCTAACCTTATAATAACAATATCCATGACGCCCCCCAAAAAAATAATTTATCTTTACATTACTCTAACTAGTTACGAAATGACCTTATAATAACAATATCCTTAAATCCGAAAAACAAAAAGTTCCGTTACCGGGAATCGAACCCGGGTCTCCTGGGTGAAAGCCAGATATCCTAACCGCTGGACGATAACGGATTGATGTTAAGATTTTACATATAAAATAACAAGTTCAGAGAATGAACTATACAAAGCGGCAAAAACCAGTGCCTGCTTGCCCTGTTCTGCAAACTCCATAAGGGGAAGCTGGCAAAATTCGAAACCCCATTTCATAATACCTATTCAATGTCCATCTCTTCTCAGGTTCAGCTACTTTCTTTATTTACTATAATTTTGTCTTTTTTTTTTCTACTTCTTGCATTGGTTTTAGTTTGTGTTTGACGGAAAAAGATTGGATTTTTTTGGTGTATCTAAGTGATAATTATGAAAAAAATGAGAAAATTTCCAGACCCAAGATTCCATTTTGTTTCAATTTTGATTTTGCATTGATTTTATTGTGTTTGATTAAGAAAAGGTTGAATTTTTGGTGCCATTGAGTAATATCTTTGAAGAGGAATGAGAATAGTTCCATATCCAAGGTTTCATCTCTCTATTAGTAGCATTTTGTTTAGTTAATCAATCCATTTTCAAATTTGTTTCTGACCCGTTTTCATAATTTAGTCTAATAAATAAATTTGAAGTTGGCTTAAACTAGAGATTTTCTAAATTGGTATGATATATATCAGAAGCATGAGTTTAGTTTATTTTAGTATTTTGTGTTTTTTTGAGTTCTTGTGTTGATTTTAGTTTTTGTTTGATCAAAGAAGGTTGGATTTTTTGAGGTAGAGGTATACTCTACCCTCCCCAGACCTCACCGTCCTCACCGTGTGGGACTACATTCAGTATATTTTTTTAAATAAGGTTGGATTTTTG